AGTACAACATCTATGATGCTCGTAATAAAATGTTAAAATGGAATAAAAGTAAACATCACAGGAGATCTGAGCGACACATTGAGAAAACGAGTGATATTCATCAATCTGGAGAGTTAGGCTCATAATAAAACATACTCTTCTCTTTGAATTTAATTCAGCGCTGTATGCTTTTGTTACGGCACACTCACGTTAGTGTTGTAGAAAAGCCTGCACTGTTATTGCACTCGCATCAGGAGATTTTTATTCACCTTTAAATGACCCATAAAAATGTGAAACTAATGAAAGAATATGGTATAAAAAAGAAACAGGGTGAGTATCTGAATAGGACACCATCAGTGGGTTAATTTATTTACTTGCAGCATCTCTTTAAAGCTTTTTATTACAAATCACACACAAACCCAATTCATAATTATCTTCTCATAGAAAATGACACATGATGTATTTTCAGAGTTTATCAGAGAAAATGAGCTTGGTGCACAAGAACAACAAAAATGCATTGCAGGTAGTGGTCACTAGATATCATCAATGGTGTTTCTAACTATCATCTGTATTTTCCACAGCAGTTCCACAAACAGAGAGAACTAAAACTGTGGCTATGCAAATAGTAATCAATACGCCAAAAAATAAATAAAGCATGGTTGCAACACTTTTACTATAATAAAGCCATGGTTAATTTTCGTAAACGAATTCATACCAACAAAACTAGTTATAGATTAAATAAGGCAGAAATAGCATTTTAAGTTAGCAATTGCATGGTTACTTTTTCAGTGTGTGCAGTATTATAATTAATGTCCCTGTAAAAGCGGCATTTTAAACCCGACTCTGAATGGTTTTCGTCAGCAGCAATAGTTTGGGGGCAGCAGTAGTAGAGGGGCTGTACTGTACGCGCTGTCGCATCCTCGCGGGGTCCCGGTGGCAGGCGTCTCGCCAGCGTCTCCTGTATAGATCTGGGGCCTCTTTGATACTTCACTCTGCATTTGAATCATGGTCCCTGTGTTTGACAGTGTGCGGTAATTACCTGGCTCCCCTGCTTGATCGTGTAAACTCTCCCAGAACCAAGGGAGATACAGTCAAATGGGAAGATGTTAGAAAAACAAAACAACAACAAAGAAGGCAACGCCATTTATTTGAACACATCGCGAGCAGCTATGTGGATTTTACACCTTTAATTTGAACAGTGGAGATGGAAAACAATTCTTCTTAACATGTCGGGTATTTGTTTAAATAGCGGGAAAGCAGCAGTCCTGAGGGGGCCCGTGATTCCCGGAGCTGCATAATGAGTGAACCTGTGGAAAGCTTTGTGCATGAACACACGGTATATTTGGAATACTTTCACAGTAACGAATTACCAATAAGCCGTGAACGATATGCATTTGTCCTCTAGCCTGGAAGCAAATGGTTAGCGCTAATGAGTTGTCAGTGACCTCCAAGGGCATTTCTTCAAAAATATTAATAGCCTAGGCTTACTATATATATATATATATATTTTTTTTTTTTTTTTCTCTCTAAAATGAAAAGAACTCTTGGCTGATCCATATTTTAAATGTAGGTATTTAGTATTTAGCATGAACACACATTACTGCAAAGACATATTCTCACCGCATATTGTACACCGCATATATTATAATAAAGAAATTATATTTTAAATGTAGGTATTTAGCCTATTACATGAACACTCATTACTGCAAAGACATATTCTCACCGCATATTGTACACCGCATATATTATAATACAGAAATTATGTCCACACACACACAAAAAAAAGGCAAATCTGATTTAATCGGAGAAAATACTTAAAATAAGTGCCGTGATGGCTTTCTTCTTGCTGCGGGATATGAGTGGTGTAAATTAAAGGTGTTGGGTGAATTTAATGTAAAGGTGTTCTTTAAGCCTCTTAACGCACACGAGACGCGCGACACTAATAACACATTAGCCTATTATCCCCAGATCATTAGTAATCGAGCATTGCTGTCTTTTAATATGCTTCATGTGCACACAGAGAGCTTTTGACATATATAGGCCTATTTCAAGATACATGTTAAAGTAGATATTTTACAAGAGTTGATTTCAGCCGACGCTATAATGAGTTTTATTTATTTATCGTTTATTTGTTTATTTTTTGTTCGTTTATTAGCCATATTGTATTTGACTAATATAGGCTACTATGTTATTTAGTACAATAAGGATTATATATTGTTTTGCCCTTTTTTCTTTAAATCTAAGCTATCATCGGAAATAGCCTATATATATTTGCACTTCCGAAAAGGATCATTAATAGCAATAATAACAAAGCGTGAAGGATTCGTACTCCTTTTGCAGTGTGTGATGCATATTAATACAGTTATTTTTAAGAAAATAATTATAAATATTTTTTACCTATCAGTGATGTAAAATATATTTTTCTACATCTAACATTAATGGATTTAACCCGAGGAATACTGACACGTGAAAAATAATCGCGTAATTTTGAAATGAAAGTTCTTTAATTGTAGAAAATAGTGTGGAGCACTCAACAACAGCAACATATACTTTAAACATTATAATTTATGAAATAAAAACGAATGAAACAAACAAAAAAATGTATCGTATGCGCAAACTCTTCGTAGTCTGTTTATTTCGCTCTTCGCAATTGGCGCATGACAAGCTTTGTTCAAATAAATATAATGTATTCAAAACAAATTTTGTCGATATCTGTATTTTTCTCTCTCTCACGATATCAGTGTTTCATTATTTTAATTTAACTAGAGTTTACAGTGAGGCGCATGATTGATCCGGCAGGTGTCGCTAAAGAGCTGCAGACTCCCATTGAGGACAGAAACGCACACTCTCACACACACACACACACACACACACACACACACACACACACACACACACACACACACACACACACACACAGCCTCTCACAGTGCAGTGAGAATCATGCCACTGAAGGAAATTACGCCTTTCACACACAAGAATTTACAGTTACTCGCGAAACTTCTACAAACATTGGAGTTGCACAGCTTTGCTTCAGGGACTAGAATGTCATGTTCTCTGAGGTCAGAGAGAGTTTAAATAGAGCTAAAGCAGCAAACGGAGAAATGATTATCCTAACATTAATATTCACTAAAAAACAAGACCTCCACACCTATCAGAACTTAAATGATGGAACATTTTAAAATAGAGATGATTAATCTAGAAATCATAACTTTTTTTTAAATGAAAGTATGAAATGTTTCTAGTTGAGCAAATATAGGAGTGAAGAGCTCAAAGCGTGTTTTTCGTTGATACTCTCGCGTTGGCGACCTGTTGTTCTGTAAATCTGTTTATAGGTCGGCTATAAAACAATAATTACAATTTTAGAACAAAACCATTAGAATTAAATAGGATCAAATAGTTTAACATTTACAATGTCACAAAGCTTTAAATAATTCAGATTTAGATAAACGTTTTTGTTACTAGGATAAAAACTGTTTATAAAGTTAGGCTATTTCACAAAACTAGAAATAGATACGCCTCTGACTGATGGTTTACATTTCGATTATATTTTATGTTTATTTTATATTATGTTTTTCATTTAAACAATCGGTTGATTTTAACTTTGTGAGAGGTTATGTAAAAGTGTTCGCGTTGAAATGGATTCTCATCCGCAGCTGGGCAGACATCGAGAGCTTTAACCCGAAAATGACCTCAATCTGACACCAGCAGGACATCTGACCGTCTCTGCCACGGACCCCGTTCACAACACAGATCTCAGCTTCTTTTTTAAAGTATCCACACACGGGTTTATTCACTCGGTAGGTTCTCTTTTTAAACTAAATATTTTATTTCATGCATATATTGATAAAGACGAAGCGGGTATGGTATTTTAAACATTTTTGAAACCGAAAGCGTGTTTTTCTGTCAGTAAAGATTGTTTTCAGTGAGACTACATGAGCCGTTCTGTCGGAAAACTGCAGTTTTAATAAGGTAAAACCGCTGTGATTATACCAGTACTTTTCGACACACCGAAAAGTAAAGCAATGCGCATCACTGGCTGCTTTAATGCGTCACAAAACATTTTTAATCAACCGAAAACGTTAACTAACAGAGCATTTCTCAAAAGCTATTGATTTATTGTATGACTTTATAGATGTGTTTCAGTAGATTTTTACGCATTGTTCATATAGTTATAGTCAAATGTTTTTCTGTGGAGGTGTAGAAGTCGGTTCTATTCGGATGCGATGGACTTACCGCGTCTCTATAGAACAGCTCTTCTTCTTCCTCGCGATGAAGCAGTGGTCAGACAGCGCGCGCTCTGTGTCCACTGCAGTCCCTTCACTTCTGCTCTCTCCTGTGCATGGTCTTCCCTCCCCTCCCTCATAAACAGAGCGGTTGTTGCATGTATGAAATCCGTGTTAATTGCTTGCTTCATTAGAACTCGGTTCGTGCGTCTGCGGAGCACTTTATTGACCTTGTTTGTTGAGATCCCGCACGAGTTCGGCTCCACTTACCCGTGAATGGTTAATTTCGACAACAAAACAAGTCAGGGCGCTCTAAATGTAGACATTTATGTAAAAAGCGATCGATAGGACGCTGATGTCACATGTGCCGCGGTGCAGGCTATATGATCATTGATGAGGAGTAGTATTTTAAGGGTCTGTTTGTGGTATTAGGGGCCATCTGTAGCACAATCAATATCATTGCTCCTCCTCTGAAACTCCAGGCCTTCCTAATGATTGATGATCTCGGGGCTCTTTGATAACTGAGCGGCGCGATGCACGGCTCACATGTCAAGCTTCAAATGCTGTTGGACTAGAGACAGTTTCCAAATATAAAACTCGCTTTTTTGTCTTCTCGCGTGTGGAAAAGTTCACTTTATTCTAAAAGGGGCCCCGACTGAGTATGCATTTTTTTTTTAACCTTGTTGTGCACAAGAAAAAAAAAAAGGGGGACTTGACACTCGGTTGTATCAGTTATGCATTAAGCAAAGTCGGGCTGGAATGACTTTCTTTCGTCCAATAAAGATACTAATAGCGCTGTTTTAAGGTTTGGACGCGTGCCCGACGCGCCGCGACGCCTCTTAGTTCTCAGCGCATGTGAGTGGGATCTGCGGTGGCTCCCCCCTCGCGCACTGGACGCTCGCCTCTCGCGTAGGCTTTGGCGTGGAGCTCGTGCAGGACTGGCTGCGCTCAGCGCCACTTCCGGCTTCCGTCATTTCATTCTCCCGCCGATGCGCGCGGCTCAACTCTCTGCGTTCTATAAGCGAGCGAGCGGCCGACCTGCCAGCACTCACTGACACTCACTCATCTCAGACCGCGCCAGAGACCGCCGCGCTTTCCACAAACTCTCCTCTTTTCCGTTTGTTACTGTAGTAATAAAACAAGAAAGCGGACCGGAGGCATAAAGGAGACAGGGACTTGTGGGATGAAAACGGGGCTAAAAAGATTCCTCCTCTCTTGAACATCATCTCCAGCCATCATTCATTCATTACCGTGACAACCTCTGGCTTTGATTGACAGCTGGAGTGGCAAAAAGCCATGAGACGCGACAGTTTAGTTACGCGCAGGTTGTTGATGGGCCGGCTGTAACCTTCAGTTTGGCGCTCGACTTTTTTTTCTTTCTTTTCTGGGGGGGCAAAAAGGAAAAGAAGACTAATTGCAAAACTCTTCCTGATGCCTGCGCTCGTTCTCAGCCGTAGTACTGGAGAATAGGAGAATTCGGCAAGTTGCTTGAAAAAGGGGATCTTTCGCGGCGCGTGAGTTTGTGAGCGGACTGGGAAATTCAATCTACGACACAGATCCAGAGGTTTATTGGAGCGCAGGCTGATGGCGCAAAGGGTAGGTTTAAAATCTCCAGCACTCACCTTCACTATACACTATCTATCACAGGCCTCTCATGCAGTCTGACGCACTTGCTCGGGAATACTCGCCGTGTCTGAGCGCCTGAGCTTCGCCGACGGTCTCCTGCTGCCGCTTTTACAGACACGCTTCGGGAAGCACAACTTTACCATGTTTTTGGTAATTACGCGCAAATACGCAGCAAACTTTAGTTCCGCGCGAGACTATTTTCACTTATTTTTCCCCCACACTAGCCGTCTTTCTCTGCAGCCTTGTCTCTTTTCCTGCTCTTCCTGACTCTCTGCTTCTCTTGCAGTACGATGAGTTGGCTCATTACGGCGGCATGGACGCGGTCGGTATGTACGGGGATCCTCACGCGCCCCGGCCGCTGCCGCAGGTCCATCATCTGAATCACGGACCGCCGCTCCACGCCAGCCAGCACTACGGCACACATGCCCCCCATCCCAATGTCATGCCCACCAGCATGGGCTCAGCTGTCAACGACGTGTTAAAGAGGGATAAAGATCAAATTTACGGGTGAGTTTCATATTAATATCGGATCCGTGAACTCCTTTAGTCGGGCTGCTCTTTCCCGTAATAGTGCTTTTCCATCACAGCTTTCTGGAACTTGAAGTATTTAGTATTAGTATTTTTGTGCGGCGCTTTGAAAGCATTACTAAAGTAGACTTCACTTTGCTTTGCACATTATTTTTTTAAAACGTGTTTTTACTTACTTGACTAAGAAGCTTGCAAACTTCAACCTAATGTTCATAGGCTACCTACAAATAATTTCGTGATGAGCGGTAGCGTGCTGCTTTCATTCCATTTAAGTTCAAAATCACCGCAGCTCAAAACAAAGTTACAAAACCCGATTCTGGTCGAGTGTAAAATGTATTTGATTTATAAATCTTCTCCGAACTGTAGTATCTGGATATTTGGGATATTGTCTGCTTTGTTTCGGGACGCAGGGTTATTTCTCGCCGTGCTCGAACTGTTCCACACTCTTGCTCGTTTGATTCTTCAGTCGATCTGATCTGAGCGCTCTGAAGGTTAGCGTGTCGCTGTTGTCTCTGCAGCCATCCTCTGTTTCCTCTGCTGGCTCTGGTCTTCGAGAAGTGTGAGCTGGCCACATGCACTCCCCGAGAGCCCGGGGTTGCTGGAGGAGACGTGTGCTCCTCAGACTCCTTCAACGAGGACATCGCTGTCTTCGCCAAACAGGTCCCTCACGACCCGCACATCTCACACCTCGAGCCTTTCATACGTGTTTAAAGCATTAAAACAAACAAAGACAAAACATAATCGATTGCTTAAAAGCGTCCTTTTCATTTAAGACCGCTAATTCTATTTCTATAAATGCACTTGGATGTTGTAAGTAACTACATTAAACGATTTTTTTTCTACTTTGACCAGATTAGTGATGATTGCAATTTTAATGCTTTTTTATTTTATTTTTTTTATTGTATTTTTTTTAATGTCATTAGCGACTGAATTGCTGCACATATTTTCATCAAATGCTATTAACCCTCATTCTGGTTTGTTTTAGGTCCGCGCAGAAAAACCTTTATTTTCTTCGAATCCAGAATTGGATAATTTGGTAAGATAACGCTTCAGCACTGATTGTCTTCGGAACAGCCGCGCACTCGAGTTCTCTGAAATGAGTGCGACTCATTTTTTTCGAGACTTTTTTGTTTTGTTTAGTTTTTTGCATTGATCTGGAGATAGTGACAGTAAACAGGAGGGGATCTAATGTGTGACGGGGCTGCTCGAAGCGAGCAGGAGAGCCGCGCACAGCGGTATAGTGTGAAATAAGTCTCTCATTATTGGGCTGATATCACCATCAACCCCTTTAACACTTCACACAGGCCAATCATTCCACCTGCAATTTTTAAATATAAAAAATAATTGCTTTTTATTTCTCTAGAATTATCTATTATTATTTAATTAAACTTTTTTTTCTGTTGGAATGGGAGGTTTTTGTTCACTGCAAAATGTTATGCAACGAATATTAAAATTAAATTGCAAAACGAAGGCACACAGCTAACGACGTCCGTTTGTCTTTACAGATGATACAAGCCATACAAGTATTACGGTTTCATCTTTTGGAGTTAGAAAAGGTAATCTTTCATTGATTTGTGTTGGTTTAATTTTAAAATAATTTGGATGGATTTACTTCTCTCATCACCAATTTGTGAATGTTTTTTTTTTTTTTTTTGTTAATTTATTTTCTAAATTAATAATTCTGATTTTGTATGACTTATTCTTAAAAAATAAATATTTGACAAAATTACCCCTAACATAATTTGACATTAAAAAACCATGTTATTTCCACGTTCCGTATAGATAGTGGTTTAAACGAAATGTGACATAGAAATATTCTTATTTATTACACATAAATAAATAATTTCACGGACAAGTTATAGTTTCTGCGAAACGATGATGTTCGTCTGTAGCGTTTATTCTGTCGATTAACTTGTTGCATGGGTCTCTAGAGAATAACAAGCATTGCTACAGTTTCTCTATTGTTTCCCTGCCTTTGCTCATGATGGCCTTTAACTGTGCTTCTTTCTGGAGCGGCTGGTGACAGAGCTTTTCTTTTCTCTGCTCAAAGGTGCACGAACTCTGCGACAATTTCTGCCATCGGTACATCAGCTGTTTGAAAGGAAAAATGCCCATAGATTTAGTGATTGATGACCGGGATGGCAACTCAAAATCAGACCACGAGGACATCTCGGGATCTTCAACTAACTTAGCCGATCATGTAAGTAACCGGATGGTTTCATTGTTTCTGTCTGCGCTGGATATTGTATGTAGCCTACCCTAAAATAGTAACGTGGACGATCCAAATGGCTGATAATATTTAAGATATGATGCTCTCAAATGGACTCTTGGCTGAAAGTTTCAGGCGATTTTTTTCTGAACTTGTGAGCAAAAAACGGCGTGTTTATGGAAATATCTCGTTTTTTGTTCATCTAGTGCTGGTAGATGTAGGTATTATCTTATAGTTTAGTATGTCTTTATCTTGGGCTGTTGAAAACAAATTAATATTTGAGACATGGATAGGCCTAAATGTGATGGCGTTAAAAGCTATTTTATATGCCTCAGTGTTATGTGAGCATGCACACTATTTAGTTTAATGTTTTGGAGAGGCAAGGTTATAATGTGCTTGCCTATAGTTTGCCAGGATGTTGTCGTTAATGTGTTTAATTGACTTATTGATTTCTGCTGTGTTTTGAGTCCGGTTTACAGGCCCGACGCTCCATTATAGATTACATTATACATCGGTTGTGTTTAAACGTGTTGGTTTCGGTGTTGTAAATGAAATGTTGGGGAAAGAAAGTTTTCCGCGTCGTGTAGTTCATATCGAGCGTCATGTGTGAGGAGCGTTATATCTGGAGTTCACAGCAGCAGATCAAGCCTGAGAGTTACAGCAGATTTGAGGCTTCTGAGAAATCAAACAAATCAAACTATCGGCTACGCCACTGAACTGAATCAACTGGATCGATTAAAAACCGGGAAAACAATCAGTTACATTTCCATATGCTTAACAACTCACTCGTGGTGTAAAATATGTGTTTGTAAGTGCAGAAATAAGACACGCTGTTTCTCTGCTGATTGTTGTTGGCTTAATTAATGACAAAACGAGAAATGTCAGTTCAGTTCAGAACGACAGGACATTTGAACACCGACCGCGAGGCGAAATCGCATTCAGAATTCTGTGGATTCAGATTCCCTTCACGTCTTTTTTTCGAGCGGTTTGTAGCCAAAGATTTCTATCGGCGTATCATTTAAAACATGGTGATATCTTGTGCATGTTACATTGTTACATGCTACAAATGTTTGGACACTGTGAGCTTGGATAGCTAGTGAAGGAAATTAATATTTGTATTTTTTTGTTTGCTGCTTTTGTAAATATAACCTAAGTATGTGGGTGCATTAGTTCGTACGTGCAGCAGAGTGCTTTGTGTGTGTGTGTGTCTGTGCTTTGTGTGTGTTTTGAGGTCCGAACGTCACATTTGCATAGTGTGCATGTGCGGCTGTGTTTGTTAATGGGAATAAATGATCGCAGGGCGGTTGCTGCTCCACATACTGAGAAGCGCACAACTTCATAAGCGCCACACTGGCCTGATGTTCAGCTCAGCACAAAACACAAAGCAGACGACTGCTCCGATTAAACGACAGATTTGTTCATTTCATTTGGATCTTGCAATTTATTATATGGCGTTTCTACCTTTTTTTTGTATGTTTGAGGACAGCAGTTTGATAGTTGGATATGCAGATTTATTTAGGTTGTACCTATCTCATCCATTTTTTTCTGCTTTGATATGCATTTTTACTATATCTTGCCTGGGGCTACATCATTTGGTGAAAGTTGCTTTGCTGGGGATGAAGGACATGCATTGCTCTCTCTCTCTCTCTCTACCTGCTGTAGGCTGTGAATATAGGCACTTTTATTTACTATTGAATGCTACGTTGTCTTTGAGTGTGGTTTATAGTGCTGTCAGAGTATACAAGGCCTTTGTCAGGATGCCATTATATTTTTGATTTGCCTCCTGTTACTGTCCAGCCCCCTAAAAACATTCATCCTGCAGTTATTCAGAAATAAGATTAGAAATTAAATCAAAGTATGCACATTATTCAACACAGATTGGCACAATTTGTATAATGTTGTTTTTAAATAATAGAAATTACATCTGGCTTCCCTGTTCACTTTGTCTAGTTAATAATCTGTTAATAACCAGTTAATCATATAGATACTAATTTAAATTTCATATTAATAAAAAAAAATCTCTCATAGTTGCACATGTCAAAAAAGCAGCTCGTAATATCTTAATGGCGTTTTTGCCTCGGTGTCATCACTTTGATTTGACTGTGAGGTTATGAAATATTGTCTTTGGCACCCACATTTCTCCTAATTGTTTGTGTCTGTCACTAGTTTTTATGTTGATGATAAATAAGAAATCTAAGTCACATATAGAAATACATAAAACACTAGTGTTATTTTTTAAGCAGAACAATCTTCTGTGAGTGTGCTGTGTAGTGATCTCTCTCTAATAGATTGTGGCCAGTCGCACGCAATAAGCTTAGAGGCCAGTTTTTTTTTTTTGTTAATATTGTTTTTGTTTTGGTGATTTGTCATGATAAACTGTTTACATGACTATAGCTTACAGGTCATCTAATCAGCGTGCGCATATAGATCGTAACGAAGCAGCACTGATCTGGTGTGTGTGATCTGGGTGTGACTGCTCTCGTCTGGACACACACTCACTTGTTGCTGTGCTTCCAGTTCTGCGGGCTTCTGCTTAGTGCTTCAGAATGATTTGGATTGGTTTTCCAGTTGAATAAATTCATGGATTTCAGAACAGGAACTTGTTGATAGGCAGAAAGCATAAATTGGTAACCTGCAATTGCTAACTATTTCAACCCGTAAAAATGTGTTTTGCTGGTGTAAATTAATCTATGTAGTTGGATTTGGAGATGTTAAATAATAGTTTAACTTAGATCATTAATGTTTCATATGTTTTCAAGTGAGGTGTGTTTTTGCCTTTCTGTGTCAAACAGAAGAGCATTAAAAATATTCAGTCACATCTCTTAAAAGTTTGGGCTGTCAATTACGTACTCAAGCTCAGCGAAGGCTCCTTTCTCATTCTTGTCAGATAATTGGCAGTTTCGCTTTGAATAGTCATTTTGAGATGCTTCAGACCGTCCCTTTAACATGTTTTGTGAGCGCTTGTGTAATTACATGTTAAATGCAACAGAGCTGTGTGTGGATCTGACGCGCAGGAGGCACGGAGAAAGGTCAGGGGCTGAAGATGCGCTCGCTTGTGTTTCGCATGGGTCATTTTTACGTGTTCGCAGCCATTCCCGATCCGACGTACATTTTTCTGTAAGTGCGTGGTATCTAGTGACGACTGTGAATGAAAGTTGAGCGAGCTCTCTGACGGACAGGCCAGGTGCGGGTCCTTCCAGCCATTGTCTCCAGCTTTTATATTAATTACATCTTGCAATATCAGCGTTGAGTCCGTGACCCTGTGCGCCCGGTGAAAGGCGGCCCTCTATCTTATTCTGTATCTGCTCTATTGTGCCGGCGCTGTGTTTGCGGCCTGGTAACGGCGCTCTTTAACACAATTAGAGCAGAGCACGCAGTGGCTGCGTTTGACTCCTAATTATCCGCAGCGATGGGGAATAGTCACATGCTCGCTGCTTTCTTTCCTGGGTGGGGTGGAGGCTCTCTCAGCCGTTTGGGTCACACGATGTCTCTCACTCGCTTTCTTTACAGTTTGTTTGAACTGTAATGGACTCTTGGGAGCCCTGACAACTGTTTTGTTGTGATGTGAGGCCTGAGAGAGAGAGAGGGGCGGCTGCATTATTCATAAGTGGGGAAAGGGCTGTTGCTTTTTTGCTGCCGAGTGGCGTGAGGAAACTGGATATCAGCTGCAGAACTCTGGGAAGCTCGCAGGGAAACATGTAGCCGTCAGCACTTACGGTTCGCGGGTGAAGATCGAAGGCCGTGTTCGAGTGGAACTACAGGGAGCACGTGGTGTTTGTAGGCAGTGGGCGTCTCGGCTACAGGAAACAGAACTCGGAATAAGCCGTGCTCGAGCTCGTTCTCAGTGTATGACGCTTCAGCTGAACTGCATACACGCGGCTGTTTTTCACTCCACTCTTCTCTAAAGACGTGCTGTAAATGTTCCGACAGAGCCAACGTCATTTTCGCTGCGGCCATAGGAAACAATTACATGAACAACAGCTGATATTCATCTCAGATGAACACTGCAGCTACAGTGTTATGGCTGAATCCACACACAGTTTGGGAAATAATATTGAAAATGGCATAAATCATACTCTCCGTGATCTTTTGGAATAAAATCGTTTGATGTAATATGAAAATATACTGCAGATTTTTCTGATGAATCCCAGTAGCTCAAGCCCTGATCATCTGAGTCTAATCTGAACAGTTTGAGCAGCACATTTCAGCACAGACTGATGCTGCTTCACACCAAGAACTATAACTATTAGATAATTATATTAATATTTTGTGTGTGTGTGGTGTGTGTCTGTGTCTGTGTGTGTGTGTGTGTGTGGTGTGTGTCTGTGTCTGTGTGTGTGCGTGTGTGTGTGTGTGTGCCTTTTTGTGACAAATGAGGACATAAATTTGTATAATGACAAAGGTATGACAGGTATTACAAGGAGAAGGTGACTTTTCAGGACATTACCCCATGTCCCCACTTTTCAAAACGCTTATAAATCACACAGAATGGAGTGTATTGAAAATCTGAAATAGCACAAAGTTTCCTGTAAGGGGTAGGTTTAGGGGTAGGGTTGGTGTAGGGCAATAGAATATACGGTCTGTACAGTAGAAAAACCATTACACCTATGGGATGTCCCCACTTTTCACAAAAAGAAACCTGTGTGTGTGTGTGTGTGCGTGTGAGTGTGTGAGTGTGTCTGTGTGTGTGTCTGTGTGTGTGTGTGATTAAGACTTGAGCTTTGTCTCTAATGAGCTTACAGCAAATGCTCACTGTCTTTCTGCAGATATTTGTGTCTCTGGTGTGTGTGATTTTTATTGCGTTTGTTTGGACGGGACTCTGTTGCATCAGACACACAATCAGACAGACAACCTGCATTTGTTACCTTAAGGAGATATTTCCACCAGATTTAACCTGTACAAATGATCTTTGCTGGTGTAAAGTCATTTAGGTGTATTTTGGTGATGTTAAATAATATTTTTGACTTCAATAAAACTAGCTAATTTCATTGTTGTCATTTTTAGGTTACAGTTTTTCACAGTGTACATGCAGATGACTCACTGAGTGTGTGTGTGTGTTTCTTGCTGGAGTGGCAAAGGAAATTCCTCCTCTTGCTCGTCTATGTGTAACACAGATAAAGCTCTTCCTGTACAGTACAAATCCTGTTTCCCCCGCGGCCCGATCGGACCCTGAGAAACCTCAGGAAGGGTGAGGAGGAGATGCCCTCTTACACATGAAAACGGCCCACCGCTGTGTGTGTGTGTGTGTGTCAGATTAGATACTGTTTGTTGTTTGTGACAGTGGAAATTATGAATTGCTGCTCAAAACACAGACGTTTAGGTTGAGTTTTAGAATCCAGCCAAGTTTGTGTCATTCCAAAGTTGTGTGCCTTTGTTTTTTCTGAGGAACACTACAGCACATGTTTTGCAGAATGTCCAAGTTGCTCTTTTCCATATAATGAAAGTCATTGAGGGAGGATGCTGTTGAGCTCTAAAAATTACAAAAGTATCATAACAGGCATCTATATGACTTATGAACTGTATTTAAAATCTTCTAAATCATGTTCTGCTTTGTATGAGGAGCAGACAAACATCATTCCCTGACAACCTTTCTTGACGGCTTTTCATTGAGGTATTCTGCTAAACAACAGCTTGTGTTTTAGAGAAGAAAGTTATGGCAATTTAAAACAACATGAAGGTGAATAAATGATAGAAAGTGTTAAAGGCAATGTTTTTGTTGAATTAAAAATGCTGAGATTGTTATGACACTGTTGGACAGCTTGTGTTGTGTTGTTTATATCACTGCAAAATGTACACTATATTATCACACAGCTCTATACATAAGTACGTTCAGTTTGATCTGCATACATACAGTATGCTCACATAAAGCGATATATACAGTATAAGAACAAATCTCAAAAGCATGATTGTTTATACTGTTGCAAAATGTAACTGTATTGTCTTCTAAATGTGACAAAGGCATGAAGATATTAAGACATTATAAACTGATGTTCTTTGAAATAACGAGTATCATGAAATGCGCTTTACAAATAGCATTTACTTGGTGTTTAGACGTGCATCTGAATGGTGAAGGGTTTGTCGGTCTGTGTACTGCACATTCTGCTCATTCATGAGTCCTCTCTTTCTCTTTGTGCTGTGGATGGGGAATGTGGACGGATGGATCCGCTCTGGCCGTCTCCAGAACCCAGCGTCCTGGAGAGATCACGATGATGCCACGTCCACACACTCGGCCGGCACGCCAGGACCCTCCAGCGGAGGACATGCATCACAGAGCGGAGACAACAGCAGCGAACAAGGTGAGTCCTGTGATGTACCTGTGCTCTCATCATGTTACTGAACCATATCAGACATAACATAAAGCACATGCAGTCCTGACAGTGTGAACATGCATGTGTGTGTGTGACCTCCATTAGGATAGTAAATACCATCCAACAGTCCATGAGGAAAACAGATTAATTAAGTGTTATTTAAAATGTACAACTGCAAAATATTTTCTGTGAGGGGCAGAGTTGAGGCCCGTTCATGCCAAGATAAATTACTATAATGATAATTTTATTTGCATCCACACCAGCGTACAATACCGTTCTGTTTATTCTATGCTTTCTGCAGCTTTAAATCCTGTCAATGTTTTTATCATTCATTAACTGGAAAAAAAGAAAAACAGTTTTAAAAGTGATTCCAATGACATCATTATAATTATAGTCGTGGTGTGGACTCACTATTCTCTTTGAGTTAGAGTGATTATTAGAACTTCATAGTTATCATTGTAGCTATCATTCTTGGTGTGAACAGGCCCTATAGGGTTAGGGGATAAAAATATCATTAGCTCAGTATAACAATTGTATAGTCTACTAATGATAATATATAATAGATATATAATATAGTGTATGATCCATTGTGCATCTGTGTGTGATGAAGCAGAGGAGAGTGTTATTGATCAAGCTGAAGTCATAAGTACCAGTGAGCTGTTCTCCTCGCTGCAGTTATCGACTCTCTCACACTGGATCCAGTAACGGCTGGTCGATATGGGCTAACACACTTACGGTACGGCACGCAGAACTGCCTCGAAGCGATCCGGTCAAGCCCCGGCCCAAACTAAGCCAAACAGAGAGTGAGACCGGATACAGAGAGAGAGAGACGAGAGACAGAGACAGACAGGACAGAGAGAGAACGGACACAGAAAGAGTCATGACAAACAGAGAGACAGAGAGAAAGACTTGACAGAGAGAGAGACAAGGACAGAGAGTGAGACTGGACACACAAAGTGGACAGAGAGAGACATGACAGAATGAGAGAGGACAGACAGAGACAAGGACAGAGAGTGAGACAGGACACACAAAGTGGACAGAGAGAGACATGACAGAATGAGAGAGGACAGACAGAGACAAGGACAGAGAGTGAGACAGGACACACAAAGTGGACAGAGAGAGACATGACAGAATGAGAGAGGACAGACAGAGACAAGGACAGAGAGTGAGACAGGACACACAAAGTGGACAGAGAGAGACATGACAGAATGAGAGAGGACAGACAGAGACAAGGACAGAGAGTGAGACAGGACACACAAAGTGGACAGAGAGAGACATGACAGAATGAGAGAGGACAGACAGAGACAAGGACAGAGAGTGAGACAGGACACACAAAGTGGACAGAGAGAGACATGACAGAATGAGAGAGGACAGACAGAGACAAGGACAGAGAGTGAGACAGGACACACAAAGTGGACAGAGAGAGACATGACAGAATGAGAGAGGACAGACAGAGACAAGGACAGAGAGTGAGACAGGACACACAAAGTGGACAGAGAGAGACATGACAGAATGAGAGAGGACAGACAGAAACAAGGACAGAGGGTGAGACAGGACACACAAAGTGGACAGAGAGAGACATGACAGAATGAGAGAGAGGAGACAGAGACAAGGACAGAGAGTGAGACAGGACACACAACGTGGACAGAGAGAGACAAGACAGAATGAAAGAGAGGACAGACAGAAACAAGGACAGAGTGAGACAGGACACACAAAGTGGACAGAGAGTGACATGACAGAATAAGAGAGGTCAGACAGAGACAAGGACAGAGAGTGAGACAGGACACACAAAGTGGACAGACAGGACAGAGAGGAACAGGACAGCAATCGTGAGGAGGCAGAGACGTGGTGCTCTGTAGCAGTAATTCAGTCGTCCTTCAGTGCGCTATGACCTTTCACCTACAAGACAGAATGAGAGAGAGGACAGACAGAAACAAGGACAGAGAGTGAGACAGGACACACAACGTGGACAGAGAGATACAAGACAGAATGAGAGAGAGGACAGACAGAAACAAGGACAGAGAGTGAGACAGGACACACAAAGTGGACAGACAGGACAGAGAGGAACAGGACAGCAATCGTGAGGAGGCAGAGACGTGGTGCTCTGTAGCAGTAATTCAGTCGTCCTTCAGTGCGCTATGACCTTTCACCCCGGCCAGCAGAACAGACGCCTCATTTCTCATATTCTTGCAATTATGTTCACGCTTGAAGCACTCAGTCCACACACACGAGACAGGACAAGCGCAAGTTCCTAAAATGATGTTTTTGGGACAGTGCTGGAAAGTGTGTGAGAGACACAGACAGGTAACATACTTTCGGACAACTCCGGAGCTGGTTTGTAAATAGGCTTACACAGTATCGTTCTAATATACATACGAGTGTGTTATTGTTTGTACTCTTGAGGGTCAAATGTTTTACAATGTCCTCACAGATGCAGTGCAACATGTTGAGGACAGAGCTGATCACTGTTCGAAGACTCATAGATCAGCCCAGTTATGTTCTGTTTTTTCTGATAATTGTTTTCTAAAATTTTAACATTTATTGTGAAATGTTTTATTGTGATTCATCAGTCTGATCAGTGTATTAGTATGTTTTTAATAACATAAATAGTAATAAACATCACCTGAAATGAAATTTATATTTAATTTCAGGTAGTTTCCAAGACAGCATTTCTCAGTTTTGTTTCGTTTAAGTTGAAGTACTAAAATAATTTAAACTAAAACTTGATAACAACTATACAGACATATTTAAAAAAAAGCAAAAACTAATAAAAATCGTTATATGTGGTCATATTGCCCAGCCCTAAAACTTGCTCTATGCACTCAGGCATTATACACACAACATCATGATTTTCTGTAAAGCTGCTTTGAAGCCATGTGTATTGTGAAAGCACTAAACAAATACATTTGACTTGACTTAATATCAGTCATTACAGAAGGATCCATCTGTCTCAGTCTGTGTGCAATCACTGCTAACTGACGACAGCAGCGTGCCTGTCCAGTGTTAATGAGTTAATGAAGCCATCAGACCATCGTATATCTTCACACACATGAGTGTGTTCAGTGTTATCCGGTCAAACACACTCTCTCTGTTCAACATCAGTTCACTGTGCTGGAAGCGGCTGAGAGATTTCATTTAACTGGCTGGGATGAGCGGGAATTTCTGCCCTTTTCCAGAGCAGTTTTTTAGGAAAATAAAATATCAGTTGTGGCCCTCAGGCACTGAGACCCTCCACACACACACACACACACACACACACACACACACACACACACACAGAGACTCACGCGAGGTTTGGCTCAGGCTTTCTTCTCTTTACACTTTATTATTTTCTTTAATGTTAAAGTTTATGCCACAGACAGAAAGACAAAAAAGTAAAAGTTCAGACAGACAGAATTTCACTCAGACCCTTGCTGTGTGTGTTTCTTGCACATATGTGTGTGTAATTTGCAGGGATATCTCATGGGTTTATTTGAGGCAGATCTGTGTAACTATGGTTTCTTTGCTATAGAAATATTGACCTTCAGTCGTTTCTGTGCTTTAAAGCTTTTAGATTATCCATGTCATATTAGAAAACATCAATAACAATCACATCTTTCCTGTTAGCATGCTTGTTCATGAGAAGCGTTCAATCTGGGAAACAGCCGCTAATGTTCATGACCTACGGACCCCTGGTCCCTGCAGTACAGTCACATCTGTATCATCTGTACTGCAGCACAGTGGACATGGTCATGATTAAACACTGCTGGTGACAGTTGCAGACAAATAATAAGCACAGTAAACCTCTCAGACAGAAGAGAAATTAGATTATTGAAAGCTAGGGAATACCTTACATGCCTGCTCAATTCTAGCGGCTTTATTTGCACTGCGCTGGCCTTTTAAACAACGCCGCTGCTGCGCTGAGTGTTTTTTGGGCTCTTGTTTTAGCACACTGTGCCTGAGGGGGTCAGCCAAGAAGTCACCCTTAAGAGGTGATAATCCCATCACACTAGTCTCCAGCGCTGCTTTTCCCAGATGGCATGAGCGGTTCTGTTCTCATGAGAGTCTGAACCGTGTTTCTGTGCCAGCAAGGGGTTACCGAGGCCAGTGCTGTCTAAAGCAGTGCTTCTCAACCAGTGGGTTGTGACCCAAAAATGTGTCTCAGGTCTGTTCTGATAGGTCTCAGACAGTAGAAATAAAACAATGATAGACGAACAAAGTGTACTGTAAACTTAAAAGGGAGGAGAAAACAATTCTCTTATCTTTAATTGTTGACAATTTCATCTTATGTTTGATAGAAAGCATCAGACAGATGAACATGGACAGATTGTGTGACACCCTCATCCTCAAAAAAAATCAACAAAACTACACAAGGTCAAAGAAAATACAACCCAGGCATTAAATACAGGTTAAAGCTAAAAGCCAATGTTATGTTAATACTTACTATTGTTATAACATGTTAATTCATATTATTGGGTTCATGCAGTTCATACAAATTCCAATGCACAATCTTGAGGACGTTTCTCATTGTTGAGAAGCACTCCTGCGGGACCTTCACTGCCAGGCCCACCTGCTCATTTTGCCTATTGAAGGTGTACTTATTTCACCATCAACCCCTATTGTGTTTGCCCAATGGGCCTTACGCCCCTCCGCTCCCTAATCTCACCCACCTCCTCCCTCCAAACACCCAGAATGCTTGTGAAGGGCTTGCGCTCGGCGGTGTGGTCTCTGAAGCGCGTCACAGCGCCGATGCCCTACAGGTATCTCTTGAACGAGTGGGCGGATGAGAAAAAGATGCTGCCTTCCCGAGCACCACTAACGTATTTATGCAAATCTTTTTTGGGCATTATTGCAGATAAGCTCATTTTATAGTCTGATTTCCGCTCCCTCGTGTGCCATAATGAGTCGTCGAGCATGGGGGAGCGTGCCGGGGAAGAGCGCCAGTCCATCCGTCTGTCCATCCACGTGCAGAGCGCACCGTCCTGACGTTCCGTTTGAGGAGACAGGGA